ATATTAGACTATATAATAGACTATGAATCCATTAAAAAGTTTTTACCTTAAAATGAAAGTGACTAAGAAATATCGATGTAATCGTGGTGATAATCTTTGTAATTTCCATAAACATAGCTATCATACCCTGCCATTTGCTATACTCTGGATAGTAAAAAAAATACATAAAATAGCTCCATGTGACCAAGGTATATAGGCAAGAGAAATACGGTCTTGGTTGTCCAAGTGGATATTCAAATAAGCCCAAACTGCACAACGAGCCGATAATTAATAATGGTGCCAGCGCTATCTGTAGCGTCTTCGTCATAATTTCCGCAGTCTACTATTAATAATTTCAATTCTTATCGCACGAGACACAAACGCGTTTAATACTCTTCATAAGAATTTCAAAAATAATTTATTTTTCCTAGATCCTCTAGGAACCTTTGTGAGAATTATACTGTAAGGTATACGTACATATATACATTGAAGGATGAAGTATATATGTATCAACTAACAAGTATTGAGTGACGGAATATATGCAGATAATCTAGATTAGATTACTTTCGCGGAATTTTTATTCATATGTATGTATTATTGCACAGCATAAATAAATACAAACGTAACCTCTTTGCATTATATTATCTTTATTCTAGGTATTCAAGATACATAATGGTGGAGGAAGATGTGTCTTTTTCCACTATAATAGATGCTTCCATCATGTATAATTGTATGATGAAAGAAAACGTGTCCTCTTCCACCATACATAATAGATGCTTTTTACATTTTTAAAATTATCACTTTTGAACAACACGTATACTGAGATGAAGCTGATAACTTCGATAAAGTTTTCGATAAAGTATTTAGAAATTAATATACACGCAATATAACGTTTCTCATAAATTAAACGTATATAAAATTATTTTTGTATCAATAATATAATTTATTAAATAATAAAATAGAATCAGGCTCCTTAAAAATTAACAAATTAAAGTATAAAATTTCCTGGGATATAGGAGTCAATGCGGTAGTGCATTAATAATTAGACATAAATTTATAATGTCTCTTCTGTTAGACATACATTTTCTTTCGTATGTGTTTCGACTTAAGTCACTCTCAATGAAATACATAAATTAAAATTAAATTATCCTGATAATCTGTGCAATCTTGGTGCCAATCCGCCTTATTGTTTCCTTGAGTTTTATCTTGGTTATTCAATCCAATAAAACAATGAAAGCTCTCCCACAAATAAAGCTATAAAGACATTACAAATTAACAATAATGGTCAATGATAAAATTATGTTTAAATAATCATGGATAGTCACTCACTAAATTGCAAACAGATTATATATTTAACAGTCATCAATGCACATAAAATTAGCGTTTTATCAAAAATTAAAAATGTGTCAAATATGTCCAATAATTCTATATTTTAAACGAGTAGTTGTCGTGTCAATTTCTTAAACAAAAATAATGCTATGTGTCGTCATCGATACATAACTATTTCACAGAGACTCAATTATCATATAAATAATAAAAATATCACTAAGAAGAAACAAACTGTAAACATCAATAGAACATTGCTTTGGTTTACTGTTCCATATGTAAATCTAACAAATTTAAGAAAATGATCAATAGCACAGTATCAAAGATTGCGTTTTACAATGTTAACAAACTGCGTAGTTTAATAAGAGTATACAAAGATCCGTTACCAATCACAAAGTAATATAGGATTGCTTGTAAGAATTGTGAAGTATGTGGGGCAAACAAGCAGACAAATCAAAACTAGAATATCGTAATCACATCAATAGAAAAACATTAGTTAATTCAATGATAACAGAACAAAGATTACAACACGATCATGAATTTGAGTCGGACCAAATGCGGATACTGGACAGGGAAAGAAATTTTAATAAAAGATTGACTTCTGAAATGTTACATTAAAAATGCAAAAAATGAGATTAAATTTATAAACGGATACGCAATTTCTTGATCATGCCTATATTTCGGTTCTAAAAACCATCTAGTTAAAATTTGTTTATAACTAAATACGACTTTATTTTCTGTTAATTATATATCGAAGACACGTAACATTATTTTTATTATGTCTAATCGACACAACCACTCGTTTAAAATGTAGAATTATTGCGCATATTTGACACAATTTTTAATTTTTGACGAATAACGCTAATTTTATTATGTGCATTGGTGACTGCTAAATGTTTACGTATAATCTGTTTGCAATTTGGTGAATGATTATCCGTGATTATTTCTGTACACACAATTTTATCATTGATTGCTATTGTTAATTCGTAATGTCTTTATAGCATTATTTGCGGAAGCTTTCATTGTTTTATTGGATTGAATAAGCAAGATAGAACTCAAGGAAACATCGCAGTGAGGCATCGCAGATTGGCATCAGATTATCAGGATTGCACAGATTATCAGGATAGTTTAATTTTAATTTATGTATTTCATTGAATGAGAATGTCTTAAATCAAGTTGAAAAAAACGCGTACGAAAGAAAATATGTATAATAGAAGAAACATTATAAATTTATGTCTAATATTAAATTAACGCACTAACTACCGCATTGACTCCTACATTCTAGAAAATTTTGTACTTTAATATAATTTATTAATAT